ACCTCTCTCTCTCTCTCTCTCTCTCTCTCTCTCTATACGTGCACGTCACATGCGACGCGTGTTAGGTAGAACCTGTAGGCTGTAGGCACGTGTGAAACGTACACTGCATTCTTTTATTGCAGGCTCACGTGACAAAGCTTCGACGTTTGGAGAATGGAGACTGGAATCGTTGAAGCCTGCGTTCAATTCGGACCATTTGGGTTGGGTTATTCATCGAGCGGTTAGTTGTATTATGAGAATTATAAGCTTAGGAAGCCCAAATCCAACCCATGTTGAAAGATGGATAACCAATGCCTTCATCAGACATTTTGATCTCTTCTCACTTTGGACTTTCTCGAGTTCCAAGAAGCATTAATGATTTCAAGTTAAATATTGCTTACTATGACTATCATTGTATGTAAAAATTAATCTTATAAATGTCTCAAATACTTGGCTTATTATACATTTCGACATTTTTGAAGGATTTTATAATATTATTTTATATAGAGTATATTTAAATTTAGAGGAGTGTGTGTGTGTGTGTATATATATATATAATGCAATGTTTTGAGAATCCTCAGGTGCCGAGCACGTGATTAAGGATTTCCTCTTCTGGCGTGCAGTGCACGTGAACGAGTCCTGTGGATGCAAGATAAATAGAAGCGTCGACAGATGTCGGTTCTCTTGGGGTTCCGTCGCGCGGCCCGTCATCCCTTTCGATTGATCGAGAGCCGAAGCGGAGTGGGAGGAAAAAGCGGAGTGGGAGGAGACGAGCATCATGAACTACCCAGTGCAGAAGAACACCCTCTATGTAGGTGAGTAGGAAAAGAAGAAGAAGATTTTTCATCTTGTTTGGAACGTGTTCGACGGATTGCCTCATAGGAATTCTTTTAGCCTAATGTTGTGTTCTTCTGATGCCCTTTTCTTTCTTATGGGGTCTGGGGTGGGAACGCTTGAGAACAGGTGGGCTGGCGGAGGAGGTGAACGAGGCGATCCTGCACTCGGCGTTCATACCGTTCGGGGACATCAAGGACGTGAAGACGCCGCTGGACCAGGCCACCCAGAAGCACCGCTCGTTTGGCTTCGTCACCTTCCTCGAGCGCGAGGACGCCGCCGCCGCCATGGACAACATGGACGGCGCCGAGCTCTACGGCCGCGTCCTCACCGTCAATTACGCCTTCCCCGAGCGCATCAAGGGTGGCGAGCAAGGATGGGCCGCCCAGCCCAGTCAGTATCTCTCCCATCTTGAGCAGTCTTTTCCTTTCCTCTTTTACTGTTCTACGAACCAATCTACATCTATTGTTCGTAGCTCATATTATCATGTGGTCATTATATTATTGACGAGATTGATGTCTCAAAATCTCTTTTTTTCTGAAGCAAGATGTTCCTATGTTGCTTGGCACATTCAGTGTTACTAATCATTGATTACCAGTCCGTTCTTTGAGTTTGAGTACACTACTTTGATGGCTTCTACCTTCATGTATTTCTACACATCAAACAATTTTATGATATTTTAACTTGTCAATTATTTTTCTTGTTTTGCTAAACAAGGGAAAAATGTGTTTCTAGCCATGCATGGAATGCTAAACAGCCATAGCTCATTAAGGCCATATCCAGGGCAGGGGTGGGGTAGGATTGTTAGGTCCTTTTGTCGACTTGTTATTGCAGAAGTTGGTGGCGGTTGGTTTCTTCCCGCATCAGTTTGAGTCTTGGATTTGAACAATTTAGGTTTTGGTTTGAGTGTCAATGTGAGCTCAATTATATGTTGGTTCCATTTTTGGGTTTAGTTGAGTACATTCTTATTACTGTTTTGTGTCAATAGTTATACAAGAATTCGCGTAGCACTTAGTTTTGTAGTTGCATGGTCAAGCCATTCTTTGAACATTCAGCTCCTATTACCTGTTGTTGAAGTCCAATCAGGAAAGTAACTAGTGAAAGGAACAGCGACGTCACAGCTTCACTGAGTTTCACAATGTTTTGAATAACAAGGACTTTATGGGATGAATTATGTTGCAGCAGACAAGAGATAGCATCCGACCTTGAGGCCAACATTTAAACTGAATCATTAGTGTTCAAAAAGAGGAAAAGTAAAGATTGCAGATGATAAGTGGGTGGCATTATAGATAAATCAGAAGGGAATAAAATCGTATAAACAACCATATGTAGGATTTATTTGCCTTCTTTTAACTTTTGAAAAGAGAATCACTAGATGAACAAGAGTATTTTCCTGCTTTATGTTCCTAATTTCGACAACCAGAGGCTATTGTGATAATGATTAGTCAGAAAATTAGCTTAACTTCTTAAATTTAGGTTATTACAATACTACGAGTTACACTACTTATTGAATGATGCTTGTCACCAACATTAGTAGCTATGCCGTGTGGCAAGATACCTTAGGGTTAACTTTCCAATTAATGGATGCTATGATGAATGTCATGTTCATCTCTCGTGTCCCTCAGAGAGTGTCCATATCTTCTTGGAATGGAGATTTTACGGATGATTAAGTGATGACAAATCACTTCAGTTTCTTAAGTGACAAAAAACCATAGTTACTATAGTGTTGTCCCTTTCATAAAAGTGTTTTGTTGTTTTTTGATTCACAATGTAAATGTACTGATTAAATCAGTGTAGACCTACTTATACCGCTGCAAGTTACATTATAGAAGCAATGATCAATGAGAGTACCGTTTAGCTGACATCTGGTTAGCTTGATGGCCTTTTTATGTTCTCTAAGTATTCATTTTAATTGTTGTTCAGTTTGGGCTGATGCTGATACGTGGTTTGAGAGGCAACAGCAAGAGGAAGAAATGCAGCGCCTGCAGGCGGAACACCAAGCTGCAATGCGAGCAGCTGAGGAGCTTCATCGGAAGAAGCTGGCGGAAGAGAGAGAAGGGGAAAAGGAAGAAGAAACAGAAAAGATGGCTGATCCCATGGCAGCAGCTGAAGCGGAAGTCCTGACACAGAGCAGTTAAACCATCCATCGGTAATTCTATCAAATTGGGGAACCATCATGTATATCTACGAACATCATATCGCACATGAACCAATTTAGATCCTGGCTCATGTCCTTTTTCTGCTTTCTTGATGACATTGTCTTTGAATTGCTATTCGAGTGGAATGCTTGTTATATTGATGTGAAACTTGAGATAATTATCTATCAGTGTGAGAGACCATCTAAGAGAAGAAATTATGAACATAAAACATGTTTGTTGCTTCTCTCTTGCTTGAGTTCTGTTGAAAGGTTGGATGGCAAATTCTAATTAATTAGATTCGCTACATATAAATCTAGTCCACGCCCTTCTGTTGTGTTCCTGATTAGATTCGCAACTCTCTCTTCTTACTTATGCTGATGTGTTCCTGATTAGATTCTGGTCCAGTAGATTTTGTGTAGTAAAAAATGGTCAAACGCATGGTTATTTCATTCAAAATTTAAAAATAATTGAAAAAATAAATTAATTATTTAGGACTATTTCCAAGGAAAATATTTTCTTTTTGAGTTTTTTTTTTTTCGAACGGTACCACTTTTCATAATTCTTAAACAATCACCCCTATTTCTAATATTCCAAAAAATGTCCTTTCAAAAAGTTATCAGTTTTTCCACCCAAATTCAAAAAAAAAATTCGTCAATTATTTACAATGTTTTGTGGATTATTTTTTATCCACAAAATATAAAACCACTGTATAGTGTTTTAAAAATATTTTATAGTACTTTTAAAATAGTCTTGTAGTGTTTTTATCAAAAATAATATTATAAGAGTAGTTTAAAAATATTAAATAATATTTTTCACATAATTTTTTAAATGAAAACACTATATAGGGTTTTTGAAACAAAAACATTGTGTAACGTTTTTGAAATAAAAACTGTGAACAGTTGATGGAAAAACCTTTTGGATTTGGATGGAAAATACATAATAGCTTTTGGGGATCTTTTTTGAGATTTTTGAAATAAGGATGACTGTTAGAAAATTATGAAAAGGGATAACAGTTTTTAAAAACAGCCTAAACGAGAATGTTTTCTGAATTAATTTAATCGGTTTAAAAAAAAATGTTTTTAACCGAGCAATGATCGAGACTAGGACGGATCCCGTCCAAAATATTCCTTCAGTGGCGACGTCCATGTCCCATATCACTGCCGTCCGTCACTGTACTCCAATCATCACATGGGATTACGAACGTGCGATCATAAGTGGACTCGTACAATTATTGTAGTGGATCCTCATTTGTCACCTTGCAAGTTGTAATATGAGCGTGTCGGCTCTCATATCTCGCAAGCAAGAGAGGGGGAGAGGGAGACAGGGAGAGGAGTTCTTCGCTTCTCTTCTCGGATCTCTCTTTTTTTCGGTTTGGTGCTGAGGTGAATGGGTTCGACGGAGATCGCCCGTCCCGATGTTCCATCTTTCTACGAGACCGAGATCAGCTGGGACAAGTAAAGCGTCTCGTCCTCTCTCTATGTTTCCTTTCAAGATTCGTGCATTATTGGTACTCTTGAACATTGCGTCTGATTCTTCCTTTAATTCTTGGAAATGTGGGTAAGTCAATTCTGGTTGTTGTTCTTGTTCGTCTTTACGCGCGCAGGATTGGCTTTTTTATGACGTTCTTGGATTTTAGCTAGCATTAACTCGAGGCTTACTTATCAAGATTTGATGTTTCTTTCGAGTTTTGACCTTTTTAGGTGTTCCTGGACATTACCTGCCGTTAACTCGACGATTTCTTATCTGTTGGGTCAACGCTCGTTGCTTGTACTCAGGTTGTCGGTATGTCAATCTGGTTGTTCGTTCTTGTTGTTGTTCAGGTTTTACTCTCTTTAAGGATTGTTATTTTTGGTGTTCTTGATATTTCCAATTGTTGATTCGAGGATTACTTGTCTCTATTATGTCGGTGGTTGCTTTTTTGTCGAATTCCACCTCAAGATTTGACTATCAATTCGAGAATTTCTTGGCTGTGCTGGTTCAACTTGTTGTTTCATCTGAATCATTAGTTCCCTCGAAATTGTGGGTATGTATATTTCGGTCGTTGTTGTTGTTGTTCGGTTTTTTCTCTCTTTCAAGATTTGATATTTTAGATGTGCTTGGATGTTGCTAAAGATTAATTAGAGGCTTGCTTGTGTCTTTTGTGCTGATACTTGCTAGCTCATTAAATTCTTCCTCAAATAGTGGATTTTTCTATTTGAGTTAGTCTCAATGAGATGTTATGGATTCAGATTTTTCTCTTTCGTGCTTTATGCCAGCAGGTGGTTTTGCTGTATGGTGAAAATAGTTTTCCAGATTCTAATTGAAATTTCAAGGTAATATAAATCGAGAATGTATTGATTGTTCATTAACGCCCCACTTATGGAGATTTTATATGGAATTCTTAGATTGAATTAATGTATTCGATGCCATTTTCTCTTTGGGGTTCTTCAGGTGTCATTCACTTTTTTTTCCTTGGAGTATAACATTTTATTTCGCTTTGTCATTAGATTTTTTTTATATTCATTTTCATGTTACTTATATGGAGCAAAACCATTGGATATTTCTGTTATTGGTTATTTCTGTCTCTATGAGAGAATTAGGAATATCACAAAAAACATAGCTTGATGTTGCAAAGAAAGATGATTTTGTTGTCTTAAGCATATATGTCAATCTATCAACTAGAGCTCTTCTCTGTTAGTTGCACATTTTGACCTTGTCAAATCAAACAATACAACAACGTTCTGGGGAGAAAAAAGGGCTTCAAAAATGGTCTAGGCTAGGCTGTGTTGAAGCTGAGCTTTCAGATTACCATCCACCATCTGCTTCATGCTCTTAAGATTTCAATTTTAGCTTATCACCAGTTACCAATACCAAAGATTTGATCATCTGAGTTCCTTTCTGTAGGGCCTTATTATAAAACTTTACAATCTTATAGTGATGCATATTATATAACTAACGAGGGATGTTTTTATGTCGAGGAAACAAATTGTGAATAAATTTCTTATGTCAACCATGAGTGTTTTTCCTGTTCTCTGAAAATTCTTTCAGAATTTGTGTGGTAGTTAAATTCTATGAATTTTCACTGAGCTTCCATTAAAATTATTTGGTTAGTTTTATTTTAAATTGGTTTCCAGAAACATTTCATGCAATGGAACAATTTTCAAAGTATGTCTTGGTGTGGCATTCAAATATATTCAATAACACAACACTGTGCCTTGGTTGGTGTTTCATATCCAAGTTGGTATTTAGTAAGAGTTACTCTGCCTAACTTTTCTGAGTGATATGCTGGCTATTTGATAACTGTCTTGGTCTTTGCTTTATAGTTAACTATCATAGTGCGTTTTTGCATTACTACTTAGAACTTTTTGGACTCTTTTCATTAAATGGAAAAGAGAACTTAAATTTGTTTAGGAAAACTAACATTTTTGTTCCTTCAAATAGGTTACCATGAATCATCTATTCCATTATTCATTAAAACAAGGTAGCTAAGTTTGGAGCTATTCCTGCCATCGATGATTCATATGGAGATCTCAGTGTTCATTGCTTTTCTTCCCCTATCCCCTCTTCTCCAGCATTGCAATTGGAACCTAATTTTGCCACTAGTTTCAGTGGATTTTAGTACTACACCCTTAATTTAGATTGCATGCTTATGCTTTTTTGTCATTGTTCCTAATTGCGTTTTCATCAATCTAGGTGCTTATCATTTTTTTCGTACTGTATCCTGCAGGCTTGACAAAACCAAGTTCTATATTGTAGGAGCTGGAATTTTCAGTGGTGTTACTCTGGCACTATATCCACTCTCTGTCATAAAGACCAGGATGCAGGTTGCTTCAAAGGATGCTGTGCAGAAGAATGTATTTTCGGCTTTCAGAAATATTGTAAAGGTTGATGGCATCCCTGGTCTTTACAGGGGTTTCGGCACAGTTATAACTGGAGCTGTTCCTGCCAGGATTGTTTTCCTCACTTCTTTGGAAATGACGAAAGAGGCTTCATTAAAGCTGGTGGAACCATTTAAACTTTCTGAACCAGTTCAAGCTGCCATAGCAAATGGCATTGCTGGCATGTCAGGATCTCTATGTTCCCAGGCCGTGTTTGTTCCTCTTGATGTGGTATGAAGTTGGTTTTCAACAATTTCTTATGATATGTCAATTTCCAGAACTCCAGCAACATTTGCTTTTCTGCTTTGCTCGAGAAATATGGTTTTATTTCACAAGATGGCTTGCCCATAATTTTCTTTTGACTAAAAGTTATCTATGCATTTATTCTCTTTGAAAATAAATGAGTTGCTAGTCAAAGTAAATTATTCGTCTCATTAACAGAGCCCGTAAATGGGCCAAGATCCTGAGAAAACTCCTGAAGGTGTTTTTGGAGGATATAGCAATTCACTAATTACATTTATAGCCTATTCTTGATGTGAACTAATTGTGGTATGCCGATTTCTCTCAAACCCTCGATTTCTTGTATCCACACACTATTATAATTATCACATGGATTACCTGGTCCTCTCACAGATTACCTGGATCTCTCACAGATAACCTGGAGTTTGGAGGTGCTTCGCTCCAATATGTCACTGCTAATCCCTGTCAGACCAGAGGCTCATTGGGAGGCATGAGAGCTCCCAACATGGTCCACATATGACAGACAGCTGATACTCTGACACCATAGTGGTCACAGTTTGAGCCTATAAATCACATGTGCCAAATCCTCAAAAAGGAGTATCCAGATTATGCCTTTTTAGGCTAGTGACATATAATACTCACTAAAGCTATAGTCCACAATCAGTGTGGAGTTTGTTGATGCATCACATTTCAAGTCAAGATTGAATCTCTTAGAACTGAACCCTTCAGTGTTTCTTAAATATCTTTCAGTGCCTTGCATTCCACTAAAAAAAGTTCATGATAAGAAACCAATATAAAGGGTAGGTCAGTTGCTGAGGCTCCTATCAATACAAGGTCTGGAGAGAGTTAATCTATATACTTGACTTAAATAGGTCGCAAAAGCACAACCTAATTGTGATGCCAAGAGTTGGTTGTACAGTCAGAAGAATTAGCATTTATAGAGGTTGTGGTGACTTACTTTTTTGGTTTTTGGTCACTCATTGTCATAAATTTTTTTTTTCCAAAAGAAGAGAGTAAACTATATTAACAAGCTAAGCATAATGAATACAACCAAGCCTGTTCGCGTCACAGTGAACCAAAAAAGCTAAGTTGAAAGGTAAACCTCCTTCCCAGAAAAACATCAGAAGAAGCTTTTCTAGCAAAAATAGCATTGTCATAAATTTTTACAACTACATTTTGTTTCAATCAGGAATTAGATATTCAGAACTGCTTTCTGTTGTAATGTCTATATATAGAAGTAAAATTTTCTGATGATCACATAGGACCATATTGGTTGCAGTTGACATTCTCATTGTGGTTTATTTCTATCGGTTGCACAGTTCAGAATAATCAACATCAGACATATAGGTCCCACCGTCTCAGTACCTCTAGAAGGTGCTCTAATCTAGTTACAACTAGGTGCTTTGAATTGATGGTTTGATCCATTTTGAAGCCTGGAGCTATCCTTTATTTTTCATCTTTCATTATTATCATACCCACATATTCTACTCAGCTATGACAAGGTGTTTTTCTACTAGGTTAGCCAAAAGTTGATGGTACAAGGGTACTCTGGTTTTGCAAAGTATAATGGTGGATTTGACGTTGTTCATAGAATTATCAAATCTGATGGAGTCTGGGGACTATACAGAGGATTTGGTCTGTCTGTTATGACATATCCTCCTTCTAGTGCTGTATGGTGGGCAAGTTACGGATCCAGCCAACATATTATCTGGAAGTAAGTTGCTGTCTTTCCTGTCAACTCTAAAGCTAAATCTTATGTTGAAGAACATGCATATGATGATGTACACTACTTGATTTTATAATTATTCATATATTATGTCTTGCTTTCATGCTTAGATATCTCCCATCGACTGTAAATGGAAATGCTCTCGATTATGTTTCATCAAATATAGAACATTCAGTCATTTTTGCAGGTCATGTCTAATGCTTTTGGGCACTAGAAATGGGACTCTGTATTTTGGTCAATAATACCTTTTGTGCATTTTGTGTTAGAACTTATCCTGATCATTATCTTTTTGATTCATGTTCTGAGAGAAACTTGCTCTATTTGACCACCTCATAATGCAAATATATAGACTCGTGGTTTTACATTGCAATTAGACATCAACCGAACATGTTTAGGCTATTTGCTGATGATATTGCCTTTTGTCTCATAATCATTGTCATAATATATAACAATTGAGGGTTATCCATCCATATGGAATTCTTGTCCATTTGATGATTCACATGACTTGGTAGATTATCTAGAGTGGATCATTGTAGCTCATTAAATCCTGAGTATTTTGTTCACATTTTAATCATGGAATATTGATTTTTTCCTTGTGTAAAAGAAGCTAAGAAAGTAGTGTTCGTTGATGTGTTTATATACATATACATTTATGTATGTGTATATATACACACATATGTACGTATGGATGTTTGTATGTATATATAGTTATATACACACACACACATACATTCACAGACACACAAGCCTATATTTTTGTCATGATTTTTTCTTCATACTTATGTGCACTTTTCATGAATCATGTACATGTATTTTACTGGTCTCTGTGTGCAGGCTCCTAGGTCGTGGAAATGAGAAGAAAAATGTATCTAGTCAGTGGAATATAGTCTATGCTCAAGCAGCCAGTGGTGTTGTAGCAGGTGCTGTGACATCTTGTGTCACAACCCCTCTTGACACAATTAAGACTCGATTGCAGGTACCATCTTCATCTTTACTCTGTTTTCAGTTGTGATTTCTGCCTAAGTTTCGTCTCTACAGTCTTACAATATAGCCCGCTTCTGATTGCATATTGATTTTAGCAATTCGGAATACGTTCATTGTTGGAATATATTTTAATGTATACTTCAGAAGTAAGCTCAAAGCAAAGGAGTGAAAAATGCTTTATAAACTTCACTGCTAATATAGAGGTAAGATTGCTCAAAAGAGAGAGAGAGAGAGAGAGAGAGAGAGGTAAGAAACCTTGAATTTTTGAACTCCAATTAATTATCTATTAGTATGTAATATTTCATGTATAATTCAGTCTATGCTATTAAAAAATGTCTGTATTGATTGTCACTGACAAGATACTTGCTGAAAATGAGCAGCAAAGAGAGGTTGAATTTTTTGCATCTGATGGATGAGTATGTGCTTAGGTTAACAAAATGTAACAAAGCCAAAATACTTATATAAGTGATGTAGAAAGTAGGATAATGCTGATGAAGCTCCCTGTTCCCACTTAATCCTACAAGTTCGCAACTGATGTTTATTTTTGGAGCCATAAAATATGAGTAAACATATGTCATTTGTTCTTAGTCCTCCACTTGATGATTGAGGACTTCAAGTATATTTTTGCATTATGTTAGTTCTTATTGGAGGATGTGCACATATTGTTTCTTAAATAGTTGTTATGGAAGTCAATAAAACAAGGAATATGCTTTACTAATATCATACTCCAAATAGGAACTCATCCTGGATATGCTTCTTCTAGTGCAATAATGTGAATTGTACAAATATCAGACACAGCATCTGCACCTACCTGAACATGTTGATACAAATCAATACCTTTTCCAAACACACCATTTAGTAGACCCTACTAATTCATCAGAATCAATTAAATGCACATCAGCTTATTCAACAGTGCCATGAGGTCTACCAACATCATGTGACATGGTGCTGATAGGTGCCCTGACACCCAATCCCATTCAATGTAATTTTAGGATAATAGGCTGTCTCTAAGATGATATATGATGTACTGCAATTGTCAGCTTCACTCATTATCATATGTTGTTTTTATTTAGATGATATGTATGATATATCAAATGTTACACACACACACACATATATATATAGATAACCTCCAAAATAAGTGAGTTTTGTTTGAGTTTAAATATAGATCCTTGCGGAATTTAAAAACTTACATACACGACATCATGGTTAGTCCACATTAGTTAATTATCATTTGATTGTTAATTAAATCTCTAAATGACAATAATGCCTTTTAAGAAATTATTATGATTATAAGAATATCCAGAGCATCATTCTCTCCAGTCCACAAGAATGTGTGGGATCTGGATCTATTGCGTGCAACCTGAGTGTTCTAAATGGATGTTAATGGTAAGGATATATGCGAATGACCTTAATATTTGGGAAGGTTTTATATGCTATGCCAAAATCTGCAAGGGAAACTATGATATTTACAAACTTTGAAAACCCCTACAATATAAAACCATCAAGAACTGAAACTATGTTAAATTCGTGAAAACCCCTGCAAACTATGATATTTAACTTTTGGCTGAGGATGCATGCTCGAGTAAATGTATAAATGTGGATATAGAAGTGGGCTAATGAATTCTTCTTATTCTAGCATACACTGCTTTCGGAACCTGTCTCATTCTGTTACTAATATTTTCTTCACAAGCAATTAATTATGCGCATGCCTGTTTCTATAAATACATGTTTGACTAGGAAGAAATGTACACCCAATGCAAGTATGGTTTCTGAAACAAGGCAGTTTACATTGGTTTTCCTCTATTTTTTTGTCCCATGTTTAGCTTTTGATTAATTCTAATGAAAATATTTTGATTCTTTGGAGGTCATGGACACTACCGAGAAACGAGATGTAGGACAAGTTATGAAAAGATTGATTGCTGAAGATGGATGGAGAGGGTTATACAGAGGATTAGGCCCAAGGTTTGCGAGCATGTCGGCATGGGGTACAACAATGATTGTGGCATACGAATATTTGAGTAAGAAGATTCTTCCTTCTTCACGTATTATATCATACTCTGTGTCGCTTGATGTCTTCGAGTAGTTTAGGAGCATACATTTTAGTCGTAGGACCGTTTTTCATGAACGAAACTAACCTTTTCTAGCCATGTAAAACATGTTCACCCTGAACCTGTACAACGCGGGCATCTTCATGCATTCATTCATTTATTCCAATATGAGAATGCACAGCAATTTTTTTTCCCTTTTCCAAGCCAAAAAAAGATTATATATTGTTTTTCCAAGCGAAAAAAAGATTCTTCATTTAACACTTTGACTACAGTTTCATTATTGGACTCGATCTTCTCTCCTCATAGAATGCTCAATAAATTTTGATCTCCTCACAGCATTTAAGGTATTTAGCAAATTCTTTGCATATGTTCACGAACTGACAAGGTTGTAGAGATTCTTTGTTCAACACTCTTGACTACAGATTCAGCATCTCTCTCTCTCTCTCAGGCATGGCTGTGATTTTATGTTTTTGCAACAAAAGATTTCATGAAGACTGGGCATATTGTATGTGCCCGTGATGTTCTTCTTCTACTTATCCCATCCGTTTGTGGTGTTTCAGAGAGGCTTTGTGCTGTAAGTGAAAGAGATTTGAGCGGTTGACTTCAGCAATAACAGTATTGAAGTCACGCAAGAGAGATGGAGATCGGCGATGAAGCAGCTGACTACCATCACCCGCTCGTTAATCGACACCTGGCGATCCCTTCTTCTGCCTGTATTACTAACAGTTTATGACTAAGATGGAACACAAATACAACAAAAGAATGCATTATTCCGTCGGCACACATTTATGTTGGATTGCATGATTGGTAGGGTGAAATGTCCCCATTTCATTGCAAAAGAGGACATAACAAAGAAACAAGAGCACAAATTATCTCAATAGGAGGACGACAAATAGATTGGAAAGCAGATGTCTGACATGATTTCATAGGACTATGTTGCTAAAAAAAAGAAAAGGTGAGATTTGGGTCACAAGGTATCCTAAACTACGAAGAAAAAAGAGATCCACATCTTGTGGAGGAACATGCAAGTGAATCACAAATTATGTAGAAGCTGTTTTGTGGATACCGTCAATTATGAATCTTAAGTAACACAAGTTGACAGTAGTAGTATGATCCAGCTGTGCCACTTAGATCTACAGATTGCTGCTCCTGCCAGATCAAAATGGTTATAAAGAAAAATTAACACCTTTAACACAACGAGGTTTTCTTACATGAATAAAGATGATTTCGGTCTTCGGTGAGCCATATTTCCATCAACCACTACTGCATCATCAGGGCTTGATGAACAACCATCTGCACAGTAAATCCAGAATTCCTTAATAAGCCAAGATGCTGGAGAAGCTCCCCATTCAACGTTGGTACCAGGAGATCAAAACATCATATCAGGAGAACCAAGCATGCAAGATGTAACGTATTATCGTAACCGTGCTTTCCTCCCTTTGATAATCTACATCTGCAGGAAGAACAAACTGGTCTGAATCTATTTTCTAAATTATTCAGTCTAATTGACAAATTTTTGTCTTGAGATTTGCTAAGAGAAACAACCACCTATTTGCCCATTGCAAAGTTGCATATCGGATAGTAGTTCCTGCACCATTGCTCTTTACTTGCAAACCACATTAAACATCTCTCTGTTTAATAGTAACTATTAACTATGTGGACACCCATCTAATGCTATCAAGTATGGAAAGAGAAACTCGCAATATGGCTTGTTTGTTTATTAATGACCTCCAACAGTACTATAGTTAATTCTAGGATGTTGGATGGGAGGTAAATGCACAGTTGCAGGAAAAATAAACAAGATTTATAGGCTTGCAAGGTAACAAGGCTAAATGCATCCATAAACAAGATTTATAGGGTATACACACACTGTAAACTTGCAAGAATAACAAACAAAAATGAAACTTTGCAAGGATGCATTTATAAAACATCCACTGCAGGAATTGGCTAAACAAATCTCATTCTACCTTGTGCCGAAAGCTGACTGTTTTAGTATCTCCGTCCACCTTCTTCGGCACCAGGCTTTCACCATTTCTCTTCTCAATTTCAGTCCAATCATCTAAATCCACTCCTGTTTAGCTTCAATTATGTGCAATGAGAAAACTTATTAAGATACAACAGTTACGGTGAAGAGGTTCTTAAGAATTCTAACATGATATGGGAATAGAAAATATAAGTTTCTGTTTACTGTCTCATCTTTATATTTAATTAGACCAACAGACTCCTCGGCCATGACAATGACATACTAGAAAGTAATAAGCGACTAGCAAGAATCTTTTTCTCTCCCTTTTTAAACATGCTCAAGTATCAATTAGACTATTGAAATCAAAATTGTCAATGTTGGTTCACACATTAGCAGTACCAGCTGATATTGAAGATCATAACCTATGTAATGATTGCCAATAAACTCATTACGATGCACCCCTATGGTCCAGAGGCATAGAATTGAGTCACAACCTGAATCAATCAAACATAAACTGATCAGGTCTGATAAGTGCTTAGTAATGCATTCCAGGAGATGTTCCATAATATGATTTACAAGTTTTAGGAAAATTAAGAAGTTAGAAATCGAAAAGAATGAAAAAGGATAAGCGCTTGCCAAAAAACTTTGATTTAAGATCAAAATATCATGTACAGGTTATGATAAAGTTGCAGAATATATGTGCAGTTAGCTTCCAAAAAGCCTAAACATGTTACTTCCATTTCAGATAGCATGTTCATCTTTGTAAATGAAGAACAGTAATGGTGGTTGTTGATTTTATGAATGTTATGCCAGGGGAGGAAAGAATTTTTGCATCAAAAGACATATTTTCTTTTAACTATATCAGATAGTTAATGAAAGTGATAAAATTTTATAGAAACTAACAATTTACAAAAGCAATAGTCAAATGCCACAGTAATATTCAGAAAAACAATAAACTGAAACTTATGCAATGGTATATGCACAGGAGACAATAAACTGATAAAGACAATTGAAGATAAAAAGTTGTGGTTTGTGTGTAAGATAGGCAGCACATATATTAGATAAAAGGGCAAAATTTAATTGAAACAAACATTTTTGCAGATATCTCCATCATTATATCTATTTATAGTACTTTTAAATGAGATGACGACAGCATTTCATCAATTTTTATAAAAATAATTGAAAAACTGACTGATATAGCTTTTTGTCTGGTAAATAGAGAAAAGAAAAAGAAACATACTTGGACAAAACTCCAAGGAGTTGCACCCTTAAAATAGTTCCATTATTTCTGCACCGGGAGGGTTCATGAGTAATGTATCACATCACCTGCTATCAAATTTTAGACAACTCTTTTACAATCGGCTAGCAAACAAGTAGAAATGGTGAAAAAAAAATCCAGGCAACATACGAGGCATGACCTCCCATTTTATGCAGGATTTGGCTTTGACGTAGAGGGTGCAAATAAAAATATAGCCTAATCTTAAAGGAGCACATTAAACTGAAAAAAAAAAGCCTGCATGAATCAAAAAACAGAAACATAAAGGACTACAATTTTTAGTAAGTCAGAGCAAGGGATCAACAAAATCAATCTCAAACACATCTCAAAAGGCGATCGTTTTATTTTATGCAAAATTCTTCATCAGTTTCAACTTCATACTCTGCCTATAAGATGTTTAATGCAGAATGTACCAGTTCTTCAAATTTTATAGAAGAAGCACGAGTTGTAATCATCTAGCTTGATTACTAGAAGATCTAAAAATATTTTCTTCATTTTTTATTCTAACAAAGTCTATTATCATGTACATATTATTCCTGCACTTTCAAAAGAAGAGCTATATAAAAGAGGGATAAACACTCTTTCACTTAAAAGTATACTATCTCTAAGCACATAAAGTTTGGGGGCAGGAACTTTTTCAAGTTTATTCTATGCAACACCTGGCTGCTCCATTTCCTAGTAATGGCAAATGTAACAGCAGAGCACAGCACAGATGAATATTAGCAACTGAAAAAGGATATTTTATGGTACAGATAAAGTAGGTAAAATGAAAAAAAAAAAAAGAAAAAGATGAAGAATATGTAGCATGATACCTCTCGACGTGAATATGTCAACCAAGCCCAAAATGTGGAGGTTGGAGTTCCTTTAACAGTTTAACAACTTGCTTCATTGTGGGCCTAATAGAAAGTGAATCAACAGTACACTTGACACCCAAGTGTAAAGTCTCCACTAAATCATCATGTGGAGCCACATCCCACAGCCCATCGGTGAAAAATTCACGAGCCCGGCCTTTTTGCAGCAGCATGCATGCCCAAGTAACTATGTTGAAACCATTCCCATATGGAGAGAAGGATGGATCCAGTGCTTTCTTGTCTGAAATTAATTCCAAAAGCACCACACCGTAGCTATATACATCTGCTTTATCAGAAACACGACATGTCATGGCATACTCAGGAGCGACATAACCAAATGTCCCAGCCACACCAGTGGTTGCATGGGTCTCAGAATTCCCTAGAAGCCTAGCCAATCCAAAATCAGAGAGATAGGCATTGAATTCATTGTCCAATAATATATTGCTAGGCTTAACATCCCGGTGGAGGATACGGGGAACACATTGTTCATGCAGATAAGCAAGTGCACATGCAATGTCTAGAGCAATCTTGTGAAGCATCCTCCAATCCACAGGTCTTCTCGACCTTTCTTGTATAAATCTCTCCAAATTACCTCCTGGAAGATAATTATATATCAGAAACATCTCAGAGTCACTAACATGGTAACCTATTAAAGTCACGAGATTAGGATGCCGCCATCTTCCAAGTGTCTTGATCTCTGCATGGAACTGCTGAACACCTTGGAACCTTCCTACTGCAAGTCTCTTTATAGCCACCAGCACACCTGGTGAAATCTCAGCCTTGTATGTGGCCCCAAAGCCTCCACTTCCAATGCAGTTGCTCGCATTAAAACCCCCGGTGGCTCGTGCAACACTCTCATAAGTCAGTGGAACCCCAATATCAACAAAAATGGCCACTTCTTTTCTTCCAGATGACCTAACAGAGGACCTAGGTGCACACTTCCTTGTGTAAATATAGAGGACTATCAAAGATAGGAGGACTGATACTATGGCGGCTGCTGAAGCAATTGAAGCAATTTCAATAGAACTAAAGCCACTATTGCCGCTATCATTTGGAGTGCTACCTGGTGGTGAGTCAGTATATGCTTGCGGGTTCTGGCTACTCCCTTGCAGATCAGATGATGGAACAGAGAGAGAGTATGTATGACAGGGCTGGAGTAAAGGGTTCCCAAAGACACTGTCACATCTCAGTGTACTGGCATTCAAAGGCAATGGTCCAGACAAATTGTTGACTGAAATGTTGAACTTAATGAGTGATGTCTTATTAGCAAGAGCAGAAGGAATACTCCCAGAGAGCTTGTTGTCGTTGAGTAAAAGAGCAGTGAGATTAGTCATCTTCACGAGATCACTAGGAATATAACCAGTGAGGGAATTTGATGAGAGATCCAGAACCTTGAGAGATTGCAACTGATCCATGCCAAAAGGAATGTGACCACTTAAATTGTTACTCGCTAATGAGAGATAAGTCAAGCTTTTTAACTGCTTAATACTGTCAGGTATCTTGCCCTGCAGCCAATTCCTACTCATATCCAGATTAACAAGCTTCCACAATAACCCAAAACTTGCTGGGATTGTTCCTGAAATCTGATTATTAGATACATCCAGAACAACAAGAGAACTGCACACTGCACCTACTTCTGATGACACCACCCCATGTACCATGTTGTTGCTTAAGTCCATGATCAGACGGTTCACTTTGTTGCACTTCTCTAAAATTAAAGCATTCAGTGATCCAAAGAGATGGTTCCCATTAGCTATAAATGCATAAACAGTCTGGTTACCATACCTATGCGAGGCCAATGGTAAAAAAGGCAGAGTACCTTTAAAATCATTCTTTCCAAAATTATGATATATAAGAAATTCACCATCGGTTTCAAGAATAGGGAAGTCAACTCCTGTGCGACTCTTATAAGCAAAGAATGAAGTGTAAGCTAAGGACACGTCATCTAACGGGAACTGAGATGAAGGGCATTCTTTGTAAGTAAACCTTGGGATCGAGGCAGACAATCGATTCCCACTGATATCAAAGACGTCCATACAAGGCACGGGAAGCTCCTTGTCAAGCCAACCCGTCAAGCTGTTTGAGCTCAGATTAAGAAACCTAAGATTTTTGCACTGGCCGAACACTTTAGGTATCTGCCCTGTGAAAAGATTCTGGCCCAAATTAAGCATTTCTAAGCTCTCACAGGTACCCCAATTTCCAGGAATCTCACCTTGAAACATTGCCCTTGGGGCCCAAAGCACCCTAAGCTTCGGCAGAGCAGTGATGTTTTCAGCAAGTCTACCTTGGAAATAATTGAATTCATCCATATCAACAGAATTAGAAGCTGCTTCCTGCAGCACCGGTTCATATAGATTCAGAAGAACAATGACGGATAATTCTAAGCAGTTCCCTAGCTCCGCAGGTACGGTTCCGCTCAGACTGTTCCTTGACACATCCATAACTTGCAGCTTGTTCAATCGCCCAAGATCAGAAGGAATATATCCATCCAAAAGGTTGGAAAACAGCAACAGAACTTGCAGCTCAGTGCAGCTGCCTAAATTGGACGGAATGCTTCCGACCAGTAGATTTCCAGCCAAGTCAAGTATCTGGAGACTCCGGCACCCGTATCCAATCTCATCAGGAATCGACCCACCAAGCCGATTAAAAGAGAGATACAGCTCTCTAAGTTTAGATAAGCCACCAAGAAATTTCGGAATCGTTCCATTGATCTGGTTGCCAGAGAGGTCTAGGGTTTCTAAGTCGATACATCTCGAGAGCGAGGGCCGGATCTCACCTTCGATCGAATTGGAAGCCAGATTTAGCACACGCAACCAGCGAGGGAGACGCGAAGGCAGGCTACCCGAAATCGAGTTACCTTCGAGATCAAGCACTTGCAGATTCTCCAACCCCCAGATCCCGACCGGGATCTCGCCATCAAAGCCATGGAACGGCAAAGAGAGCACCCTGAGCTCGGAGAGGCTCCCGACAGCGGCGCTCAGCCTTCCAGCTAGCCTCCGACCAGGGTCACCGCAGCTCCGCCGATACGGGCCAAATCGAGCGCAGGGGAGCGGAAGGGATCCGCCTTTCGCGGAGATGTTGACGGACACGACCCGGTACCGGCCGTCGCAGGCGACGCCGGGCCAGAAGCAGTGGTCCACGGAGCTATTCCAGCCACGGAGTAGCTCGGCGGGGTCGGCCGAGACGGAGCGCTTGAACTGAAGAAGCGCGGATCTCTCCGCCCCACGGGCGTCCAGCTCGGCGCCGCAGCCGCGGAAGTAGATCACGGCCAAGAGCAGGAAGACGAAGGAAGAGGCGAGGGTTCCGGCGTGGATTCTCCGGCGGAGGTTCATCGGCGCTGGCCGGCCGGCAACACGTCGGAAACCTTAGAGAGCGGATAAGTAGGCCGTCGAGGTCGCACAGAACCCCAGCGCTAATCTTACATGGAAAAAGGAGTGGCAAAAGGAGGACGAGGACGAGGGCTTGACGAAGAACAAGGCGAGATTTTTACTCTCTCTCTCTCTCTCTCGCTTCGATTTTTGAATAGGATAAGAAGCTGCGTCTTCCACTATATCGATCGGATGCGACCCGCTTGATCACGTGACGTGGTGAAATATGAGCGGTGGAAACCCGTGTTGCCGTCTGAGTGGTGAGCGGGACCCAATAATAATATCCAACCAAAATAATAATAATAATAATAATTAGATGCATATTATTTATCAAAAAAATTATGAAATTGAATTTTCAGGATAACGTTCAGCAATAGTTTTGTTAATAATTAGTTATAATTGACATCAGGAATTATACTTTGTGTAGTACAATAAGCTAATGATTATTATTTCGCCACAAATCTATATATATATATATATATATAATCTATTTAATATGGTGTTTCTAGTTGTATCCAATGTGTCTCAGGACTTCATAAACATATATTTATTGGATCACCCTCTCTTCCAAATTTATTTCTTGTATTACCTAATCAACTATTTTTCACTAGGATTAATCAAGCACGATGGACGGTGAGATTTCACTAATCTCTTGTTTGTGTAGATATCATAACATAAATATAAATGTTAAAAGGAAGGGTTTTTAATATAAGTATTTTCTTACAAATATTTATATCATGGGTCAATTTTAATTTTTAAATGAACCTATAATATTTTTGTTCTCCATCTTCAACAATTATGTTTATCACGGATGAAAAAGATATAGGTGGATTATATTATGCGATTAACAATCGGTATAGAATTACATCACATCTCATCAACATAAATCTTGATCTAGCAATAAATATCTAGTTTGGTCTTGCAAGAACTCCTTTACAGTGTCAATATCAACACCATTATTTTCTCTTTAATAGTGCCCATACTGTGTGTCCCATCGTTTTTTTTTTCCTTTTTTTTCAAGAAATGTTAACATTGCTCTTCTATATCCAATGAATTATATAAAAAATATAACATTGCTCTTCATTTTTAAAAATATACAATAATTTAATTAATTAAATTTTTTTAATATAAAATTCTCCTTAGATATCACAGTTAATTATCTCTAAATACTCAGAAGACCACTCTCCTTTTGATGTTATAGAATAATTGATCAATCGGTTACCCTACCTCAAAAGATTTAATTTTTATATTCTTTATTTGTAACTTCACAATTAATTCTACATGAAAAATGTATAAGATTAACTTATAAGGATATGATGAGTCTAATAAATATATTACTATTAATGTTAACTTAAATATTTTTATCGGTGGTTTAAGTCAAATGAAATTGATGAATTAATTAACCTATTAGACTTAGGTCATGATATGAGTTACTTAGAGTCAAAAAATTCGTCACGATGTTGAGCTATCATCAGTATATTTTATAAGATTAAGATTAATTTATAAGAATATGATCGATTTAATAAGTATATTTTTTTATTAATTTTAGTATAAAATTAAAATTAACTTATAAAGAATGTATTAAATCGAAAATGATAGGGTTGGTTAGTCTCGTTTTTAGATTTCTCTACACATGTTCCTCAACTTAAATGATCCAAATCTCTCTTTGATGCGCCCTCGCACCCTTATACTTAAGGATAAGGGTTGCTTATGAATTTATTGTGTCTTTCATATAACTAGAATATTACAGCAACCTATGAGAGGCAAGACTACAGTTGTTCAGACATTGAGCAGAGAGAGAGAGAGAGAGAGAGAGAGAGAGAGAGAGTGAAGCACAAAGGGTTATTAGCATGAATGTTTCACTACTGATGTCAGCCTATCAAACAGTGACAACAGCATGATCAGGTGCTGACGTAAGAAAGAAAAAGCAACAAATTAGATAATAAGAGTTATGCTGCTAAATTCTTCTTGAATGTTTTGATATTAAACGCAGAACATATTTCTTGAATGATTTTATATCATACATTGCTTTTGTTCTAATGCTATGCTATAACACGGAAGTTTCAATAGGGAGATGTTCTAATCTGGACAAAGAACTGTACGGTGATACGGCAATCCTTTTCTTCGCAATCGGTGGGACCGTCGCTGTCTCCAATTACATGGCAGGTAATCCAGTGGGTACCGGAGAAATGGGTGTGTGGGAGATATTCCTTTTGACAGAGAGGTAAGTCAAGGTCTAAGTCAACGTTCCCGCGGGCATCGCGACCACCACCAACGCCCCAAACCGGACGTTACGATCCAACCATGTCGCGCTCATCAACGCCCATCAAGCATCCAACGGCTCTCCGCGCGCTAACGGCACCGAAAGCGCGTTTTGACCCGTCGATCCGACGGTCGGATTTTGGCGTTCGTCTTCCTTTTTGCCCCTTTCTTTTATCTCCAACTGCGTCACTCATTGAACACCGACCTTTCATTTCGTCACCAAGAGATATGGGTCCCATTGCTCTATCCAGTCAAGAAATAAGTAGAACATAGGGTCACGTCTGAGCTACAGTAGGCCAAGTGATGATCTTTTTCTTTTGTCCTCTTTCGCCACTTCGTTGTAGAGGTCGTGACAGGTCGTGACAGCAGCGCACGCCGAAGAAAAAATTAGAGGCTAAGGGAAGAGAACGGAAAGAAGAGACGAGAGACGCAGCCGCTTGGAACTTTGGGAAACTTCGGTTCACCTTCTTCATTTGCCTCAAATCCTCTCTGAGATCTCCATCAGATTTCTCGGACACAAAGTTCTGTCTTTGAGTCCTTGGATTTTTGGACCCCTCCCCCCACCCCCCCTTCCAATCCCGTTCGTCGACCTATCCTCCTCATCTAGTCAAGATCTTTAAGTCGAGTGTCTTCCTCTTCCGGTCTTCTTGTTGGATTGACTTGCCGTTTTGGTGGTGCTGCTTGTCAGAGCTGATCTCCGCTTCAGGAAGGAAGGAGGAGAGACAGGACCGGGTTTTCTCGCTTTGAAATTCCAAAGGTGAGATTTTGAGTGGGAAATCTGCAGTTTGTTTCCGTCTCTTGTTTGTTCCTTTTGTTTTGCTAATCTTCAATTCCATGACTAGTTTTGTGGCTTTTATCCGAGTCTTCCATATATTTGATCGAACTTCAAAGAGAACAATAAAGAATGGGGATCTAAGCTCATTGAACCCTTATTCATCTGTCCATTTTAGCTACTAGGATTTCCTTCCTAGCGTACAGTCTGTTGCAGTTAGGATTGGATACTGTCTTTAGTTGATTGCTCGAGAACTTCCTAGTCATCTGACTTGCCTGCTTTTGACTTGTTCTTTTGCGCTTTATATACTGTTAGATATGCAGGGAACTCTACGATCGACATCACATGCATAATAGAAGAACAAAATGAAAAATCCCAGATTTTTACTAAAAAATTTTATCGTTGTACGAAGATTGATGCGTGAAACCGTAAAATCGAAAACCGTGCATATACGAGAGATATGTTTTACCTAGAGAGATCGTATGTCTCTGAAATCCTATAAATATATGAGAGAGGATGAAAGAGATCATTTATCATCCTCTCTAGCGGTGATCTACAGGATAGGAGCTGCGAAGATGCTCCTCGAATCATTACCTAAATCTCCACACACCTCAAATAAGGGTTGTTGGTTGAGGAGGAGAAAGGGAGAGGAGAATAGGAGGTGACAGTCAAAAAGGTATAGTCTCTGACCCTTTGGTTTCCTCCTATTTATAGAGGTCTCTTGTCAACTTAACCCTAATGGATCATGTCATATTAGGTACTGAATCTTTATCCAAATATCTAAGATTCTTAGATTAGTGGATCTCTATCCAATAATCTCTCATTGACTTTTATTAGATCTCATCCATAGGTTCCAATAATTCATGGGCTTATTGGATATCCAATAAGATAGGGGCTCTAGCAGATATCTCATATTCGAATTTCTACTCACCGCAACACCTATCATATGTGTGTGACCCTCTAGGCCCAACATCAAGTTAGCCGTGAGTCATACATGTTAGAACTCTTTCTGGCTCAGTGAATTATTATCTCTATAACAATTCACTCGACTCATCGACTGTGGACGTACTAGGCTACTACGTCGTAATCCCTGGGCCACAACGCCGCAGTCCCCAAACCTTTCTGTCTTCGGTTACTATGTATATATAGTTTCTCATCCATTTAATGTCCCAAAAATCGTATATCGGGCATGGTGTTGCTAGGCGCATACAATTTTTACTCGAGTATCGCTTTAATAGGATTCTCCCGGAGAACTCTTTCACTCTCAATCCGAATGACCCTGGCCAAGGATTTGTCTAAGCAAGAACATATGAGATATTCCTCTCATGACACCGAGAGTGGATGATCCTCTATCGACACTCAATAGCCCTCGTAAGGTTGGTTGTCACTCCTGATGATCGGCTATGCTAGATCTGGAACTTTCAAACTTGTAAGTCTGGTATCAAAGAGTGGAGTACTCATATAGAATATCCTTGGTGTCTCAAGTCTTAGGACTAGATACACCACTAGGACGACAGAATCGTTGTCTGATAATGAGGCATCATCAATCATCTAACATTCCGTGAGCGGATCAATCAATGAACTCATTCTCTTATAAGCACATGTACTGTATCCCTAGTGTCCCACACGAGCACCTATGAAATCAACCGCCTCCATTATATGGACGGATATATAGTTCACCAGTCTGTCCGGTTATCTCGATGTCCATCTCAAGTAACATATGATTGGGATTATTTAGGACCTGCGTTTAAAGGTGAATCGGTCTCATTATCGTGATCTCATCACGATTCGATTCTCATTGCACATATTCATGGACATCACAATATATATATACAACAAATAATATAAAGTGAGAAAATACCATAATAATAATAAACAAAAAGAGCGCATACCATGTCACACGTGTCATCACTCACGTGATTGGCTTGCAGGGCACCTTTGACTAGCAAGATATTGTTGCCCTCCATTTTTGTGTATCAATGGTTTTGACCACTGCCCAAGTTATCTGTTAAGGACATTAATTCTTGTGCCGGTTCTTCTACCTTTTTCCCCTATTGGTAGATCATTTGGGCAATTTTCTCATTTTCTGTTTGTTGTGCCATTCTTTCTTGTTGATTTGTGCAAATAATACCTTAGTTTTGTGCATCACTGATACAGAGAAGCGTGAAGAGAAGTTTGGGGGGTTACCCACCCGGTTACCCAAGGGTGGGCTTTTGTGTTGTTGTAACCCTGCGTGTTCATGTTATTGTGGTGAAGTAGTGGGATCGTATCAAAATCATTCTATGGCAGGGTGTGTGTCTGTTGGAGCTGCTCAGGTGGAAGGAAGGCATGTTGTGATGCAGGAAGAGACTGTAAACCTTACTGATGAGATGGCAGAAATGATTGCAGATCTTGGTATCCAGTACTCGAACTTGACAATTGCAGAAGAAGTAGGAATCTGTGACATTGAAGAGCAGTTGAAGGAATTGGAGAAGAAGATCCTCAGATGGGATGCTGATAAGTCGATGATATGCTTACAGGATGTGACTGAAGTTCGGGAACTTGGTGAAGTACTCGGACTACTGTATTCGAGCAACAAAGATGAAAAACATTATGAACTCCTGAAGTTTGCTAAAAGCATTCTTCAGATGGCTATGGAAATGCTTGAGGATGAGTTGGTTGAGCTTCTCAGACAATGTTGCCAACCTGTGGAGCCTGACATCACATCATTTCATTCTGCAGAAGATGACAGTGTGGACAATTTCTCAAGCAGCTCTTTTGACGACGAATCTGTTGGGGGCATATCTCATGGTGATACCATCAGAGAGTCGGAGAATGATGTTACCAGTTCAATCCAGCATGGTCTAGTTTCTAATATCATCTCCATTGCAAATTTAATGTTCCTATCCAATTATGACAAGGAATGTTGTCAGGCCTATGTAGCAGTCAGAAAGGAAGCACTTGAGGAGTACCTCTCAGTTCTCCAAATAGACAAATTCAGCATCAGCGAAGTGTTCAAAATGGAGTGGAAGCAATTGAATCACCTGATAAATAAATGGAAACAAGCAATGTGTGCATTCATTCAGGACTTTCTTGCCAGGGAAAGACACCTCTGTAATCTTGTCTTTGGGAAGCTTCCAAGATCAGCAAGGGAATCTTGCTTTGTCGAGATCTCAAAGAGTTCGATTCTTCAACTTCTCGGCATTGCTATGGCCATAGCCATTGCACCTCCGAAGCCAGAAAGGCTATTTCAGATACTTAATACCTATGAGGTTTTGAATGATCTTCTTGTGCGCATGGAGCATTTCTTCCCAGAAGACTATGGATCTTGCGTGCTAACTGAATGCGATGAAGTTTTGCTGAGGTTGAAGGAATCTGTGAGTGGGACCATAGAGGAGTTCAAAAATAATATTCAATCAAATAGATCATCCACCGCATTTGCAGGAGGCGGAGTCCATCATCTTACAAAGTATGTCATGAACTACATCAAAGCGCTTTCCGCTTACAGTGAGACCCTTGGTCTGATTCTTGAGGACCAACAAGGTGCCGACCAATCTTCATCTACAGAAGATGGTGGTAGAAAGACTTCTTTGGATCAGTCCCCTCTGTCTTGGCATCTGAAGTCACTGACCACAATTTTGGAAACAAATCTTGATCATAAATCACAACTTTACAATGATGTTTCTCTGCGAAATATTTTTATGATGAACAACATCTGTTACATGGTTGACAAAGTTAAACTTTCTAACCTCAGAAACTTCTTTGGTGATGAATGGATTCGTGTGCACATCAGGAAGTTCCATGTGCATGAACAGAAATACGAGAGAGCCTCATGGACTTCTGTTCTCTCTTTCCTGAGGGCAGAGGGGCTTCACAAGCCAGGTTGTAGCATTCCTTCCTTGACAGTTCTTAAGGACAGGTTCAGAGGCTTCAACCATGCATTTGAAGAGGTTTATAAGGCTCAGACAGCATGGTTTGTTCCTAATGATGGACTCCGAGAAGATCTGAGGATTTCCGTATCTGCCCAGTTGATACAAGCGTACCGAATATTTGAAGGTAGGTATGCTAGCCATCTGGATGGTGAGAGACATCGAGAAAGGTACATCAAATACTCCCCAGATGACTTAGAGGAATACTTGCTAGATCTTTTTGAAGGGTCCCCAAAATCTTTGCAGAGTCAACGAAGAAGGTGATATCCGGACAGTTTCACAATTGCCGCCACTTTCTGTTCAGTCTTCTAGATTGTTGACAAAGTGCTTGTATACAAAAATGCCTCTGGTGCTCCAGTGTTCATTGCTGATTCCTACGGTATAGATTATCACATTCTTAGGAATTTGGATCTTCCTGATTCTTTTCTCCTTTTAGATGTAAATATATGTTGGTTCATAACTTTACAAGATCAATTACTTTTATAGAGATAAATTCTCAAGTTATACATCACTGACACAGAATCATTATGCAGCAATTCTTTTGTTTATTCAATCAGTCTTTCGAGTCGTTCATGTAGAAGTGACAGGTGTGTCTATCATCAACACATTGTGTTAACCTGCCGTTAGTTTGTAATGATATCTCATTACTAATGCCTGGTTTTGGAGATCCAACTATAGTTCAGAGTTTGGGCAAATCATTCAATGTTTTATTAGTAACTGACATCCTATTCTAATCTTCTACCAGATTGCCTTCTCATTTCATCAAACATCATAAAGGTTCCTACAGCATCTTCTTTCATTTCCTGTTCCTCCCACACCAGTTTTCTGTGAGATGGATTTGGTTGATACTATTATCTACATCCTTGCTGCTTAAAAGGTAGGTGCAAGGCATATTTGCAAACATAGGATACATTGTGCTTTTACATCATCTGCTTGATTTGACTATTTTTCCACTGTCCATCAGACTAGTTTGCTCGAGGAAGATTATGCTTATATAACTTAGAAGGACCTAATGATCTCCAATAGTGCTTTCATAATAGGGAATTAGGAAGGAAGATGTCACAATGTCTGTAGGGTTTAGGTTTATTAGAACAGACATTTGTTACCAGTTTTTGTATATTACAGTTGTTATTACATCTTTATACCAACACTAACATGATGGTGTATATTAGCAGCAATTGTCTAAGAATCAAATCTGGACTGAGAACTTTGAGAGGACTCTGAACATTTATGATTTTTTAGGATGACACTGAGAATGATGATTTCCACGGATATAGTTATAACCAAGATCAAACACAATCTGCATGTGAGATCTTCTTGATTGACTTGTGATACTTTCACCAGTCTCAAGAGTGTATGATCCGGTTCTCAATCTGAACTCTGATTGACTACAAGAGAGAAAGGAATCACAAGTTTCATTTTGTTATCACATTATCACATCCAATGAAGATATTGAAGCCATTATCTCCTGGAAACCAACAAGGAAATGCTGATATTTCAGAGATTTGTGAAGGGAAAACAAAATCAAGAGTACATTTCTGTGCTGCATGTTAATTTCTTAAATCTAGTTCTTACAGCTAATCACTTTCCATAAGTGAAATGACCTCATCTTTGAGTAGAATCTGCAAGAGCTGCAGCACTTGCTTGCTCATTCATCCACAAGAGATGCTCCAGAGGTGTCTCATTTGGCAACTTTATATATCAGTATCTCCACATGTTCCGGTATTAGGCAACCACAAGGCCTTCAACAGTACTATTACAAGGTTCAGCCAACATGAGAGCTCAAGAAGAAGAACATCCAATTGGAGAAGTCATGTTCAGAAGTTTAAATGCATTACTAAAAGCATACTTTGATATTACTGACACATTAAGCAAGGTGTCATCCAAGCAATCTACTTCATTTTTACATTTTGGCTAGCATCAACTTGCAGATATAGCAAGATGAAAGAATACACTCTGAATGGTTTGAGTGTTAAAATTGGAGATGACGGAGTCATCAGCTGATTCCTTGAGTGCCTGGCATCTTCATCAAGAACTTACTAGCTGAATGCTTGAATTTGAAGTGACTATGAATCCTCGACACAGAGAAATTAAACCTATTGAAAACAAAGAAAAATGTAAGATTAGACTGCAAATGCAGGAGTACAAAGAACACCTAATCTTATCTAAGCCTTTGTATAACCACTGCCATGGAGGCAAACCCAGTTGAATCCCATTATGATTTTGAGAGAAATTGTTCAATCTTCTTCAAAGCTGCATATGAGCTAAACCTATCAACGCTGCCCAAAAAATGTCACGCTACAATCAAAACCTTTTGTTATTCCTATAAACATTATCATCTGAAATAATGGAAGCTGATGCCAGTAGTTTAGCAAGAAAATCAGCTGTTTAAATGCCCATGTAATCCACTGCTTCTTGAATATAGTTAACCAGGTGACTGAAAGCTGAAAATTAAAGTAGAATACAGATCAATAAGCTTTTACTCAGCCTGTTTGATGAAAAAAGATAAGAGATACCTGATTGTGATGAGGACTCTCGTAAGTTTTCTCGTATATTCCTTAAGCACAGGGAAACTTCAGGGTTTCACAGATAATTAGAGAAGAAACACTGATGATCCATATTCTTGACGAATGTTTGTAACGAGATAACTTATCAGTCCATAAAGGTTAAGTACTCTGTCCAAGCAAGCTTTTAGATAAAGTTGGTTTTATAGCAAATGACATAGTGGAAAATTAAATGAGAATTATTGCACTAATGTAAATCACCAAGAGAAAAAGATCATCTTCAATGTTGAGTGACAGATCAGATTAAGATGCACAAGAAAAAGATCATCATCACCTTTTTCCAGATGTAGATTGGCCTCAATTTTGTTTAAAAAATCAACCTTAAGAAATTTTGAAGTTGTTCGAGCATATATGAAAACAAAAGAAAAAACAACACATTATTTCCCTAGGTTTTGTTAGAGTCATAATATCGTTTGGTACTTTCATAAGATTCATGAAGAATTGCAAGGGTTAAACCGTTTTACAAAGACGACGTATAAGTCATATTCCAGATATCACTAATTGCCACAATGTCAAAAATTTTAAACTGGTTAAATCTACAGAGTTTGATAGGTTGATGCTACCTGAAGGTTTGAAGGTTTCATTTGTTATGATACTTGTCAAGCTAAAATCTTTAATCATTGTTGCCATTTGGATGATGCCCACAGCTCAAGGGTTTAATGTTGTCTTTATAGTAGAAGAAACAAACAAAGAGAAGGCAGTAACTTTGGAAGAACATTCTAAATTCAGATAAAGTAAAATGACGACACAAAAACCTCTAGTTGATTATTGTGGAAATGCTCAACCTGGCAAAGTACAGACAAGATAAATTGTTTTCAATAATTATACAACGCAAATTATCAGAAGCTTTACCAAACATATGAGCTTCAGAACAACCTTAAAATCAAAAGGATTTGTGAAGCCTATTTCATTAAAATACAATAGCAATAAAATTAACATTTGCAAATGTAAGGGGCAAGTATGCTTGGAGTAATAGGGAGCTGAATCTGGTACCATCATATAAGTTCTTACTTTGCTCAAGCTTCCACAAGATGCAAACTCATGCTGTCTCTGAAAAATGCTGCATGCCAATATAGCAATCACTATTTAAATGCATACATTTCACAAACTTGCACTCTTCATATTGTGCCTGTTGTGTGAATTTATCTGTCTTATCTGCGTAAGTCTCTCTTTATTAAGGCGACAATGAACTATAATGAAAGCAGAATTCTAAAAAGAACTGAATGAACTCCAGTTCCATAAAAAGCATCACTTGAAATCACATTTTCAATTTTATCAAAGCACAATATTCACTAAATGGTGCAAAATCTATGGAACTGGAGAAAAGAGAACAAAGTTGAGAATAAATCTTTTGTGACATTATAAATTACCATTATACAAAGCCTCAGGCACAATTCTTGAGCATTTGCATTCCACAATAATGCTGCAGAAAGCAGTAAAGAGATCATATCTCTAATTTCCATTGGAATGAAGAAAAACACCATGCTAGAACATCAATAGATTTGTCGAACATTGGACCATAAACACTTCCAATGAAGCCCTCGTCAAGAGATAGAAGATTATACCAAGTGCTATGGACACTGGCAGAGCTGGCAATGCCTTGCGATAAAATGCTAAGAGCAACAAAGTGATACCCAGCCCAGACATGATTGCAAGATAACAAGCATACACTGTCATGAAATCGTACAGTGCTGCTCTCCCTACCAACACACTATAAAATATAAAATCTCCAAGCCCCAGCTTGATTGCACCTGATGAACTCAACCCAATTCCTTCAAGTTCCACTTCTCCATGCCTTTCTAATTGCTGCTGTAGGAAAGGTGCCGTCAATGCTGAAACGGATGGCCCTTCTTCTGCAATAACCAGACTTGTGTCCTGCGATGCAGGATCTCCAGCTTCCAAAATATTTGAGTTCGAACTAGAATTAGAAGCAAGATCCCTTCTTTCTCTCCACAGCCTCGTACCCGCCCCCGGGAGATGCTCCACAGGCCTTGCCTCATAGACCAATGCCGGTAACTCCTCGTCCCTCGAGATGGCAAGCTCCACAAGCAATCTCAAGGGTCCGCCCGGCAACAGAACAGCAGCTAAATCGTACAAAGACATGGCAATCAGAAGCGCCCAGGTGGTCCACTCCGGAAGGAGAGTGAACCAGTAGGCGACGAGAACCCCGATGATCACCAAATACCCCTGGTTGACCATGATCGGAACTTTCGCCAAGAATACGGCCAGAACTCCAACAACGGCGAAATTGAACAAGAGCAGCGAGAAGGTGACGACGTCAATGGGGACGTAGAAGCGCGAGATGAGCAGCAGGAAGACCTCACCGCCGAGAAAGGCGAGGACGACCAAGGAGGAGAAGGCCATGTAGGACTTGAGGAATCGAGTGCAGCGGAGGTAGAAGAGGAGGACGAGGAGGAAGGTGAGGAGGGTGATGAGGACGACGAAGGAGAGGGAGCTGAGGAGGGCGCCCTTGAGCTTGTCCCAGAAGGAGTCGGAGGAGTCATCGGAATAGGCGATGGTGGCGATGGAGGCGAGGCCGCCGCCCGAGGAAGAGGAAAGGGCAGTGACGAGGAGGACAACGAGGAGCATGCAGGCGGAGACGGGGGCAACGATGCGGACGATCTCCTCGCCCAGCGTTTCGAGGACGCCCGGGTTGGAATTAGGGTTTGCTTCAGCCATCGGAGGCGGATGAGGCAAAGGAGACGCTTTTGGGTTAACAGAGGAGCAATAAATAGGTAAGTTGACTTCAAAGCAGTCAGACACATCGAAACATGAGAAGAATAGAAAACAAAAACAAGGAAGAAAAAACCACTTACCAACCAAGAAGAAGAATAGAAAACAAAAACAAGGAAGAAAAAAACACCTACCAACCAAGCTATCACACGCTTGTGTTGGATTTCTTCTTTAATCCAAGAAAGCCAAAAAGAATAACCTGTAAAAGGAAGGGGAAAAAACTTGACATCATGGCTTTCATGATCATCCATTCTTATTCTTTGATTTGTAGATTGCAATGCTTTTTTCTGAAGGGTGTTGAAACAATCTTGAAGCAAGGTTCAAGTTGTTTTGGCACAGTTCAAAATGTCGTTCAGATTGGATCATATCGATGGTATTTACTGATCTGCAGATCATCCGACACATCCGATTCTCCGTCTTCAATTCTTTTTCCTCCTTCCTACCAATATACAGATCGATAATGATCCAACTGATAACAACTGACGACGATCGATATGAATACAATATCAAGATCTAAAAGTGCCTCAGATTGTATTTTTCTCACTTGGGGCTTGTTGTAAAGAGAGTGCATCTCAACAAGCTGTACAAAACAAGTATAGAATCAGAATGAATCAGATCCAGGATGTTTGGAGAAAGGAAATGACACACTGATGAGATCAAAAAGGCTAAAACTCAGAAACCAGAACATGTTCAACTTTTCATTATAGGTAATATACAAAAATCCATCTCATAGACAACGATCCTTGGGGATTCAATCGTCCTTTGGAAAGAGATACCTTTGTGCATGTAGTACAATTGGTGAGCCTTGCCTTGTTCGCTCTAAAATTTGTTCGATTAACATTTTCATTTCATCGTCATCTTCATCATCGTTATATTCATCTTCATTCGTCGCATGGATCTCAAGAATCTGATCATCGTTCAATCCCGTGCTCTTCAGATTTTGCTCCCACTTAGTCTCCCTCCCGCAACGTTTTGGCACTTCCATTGCCCATGTAAAACTCCGTTCAGATGAATATAAGCCATGTCCAAGTTCACCAGTCATGTTAGTCGTGGATGGCAAGTTGTTCACCATGTTGGCTGTCCGTCTGATCTCTTCATAAGCTTCATTGTACGTGTCTAGAGCATCTCCAGCAAGGTTCAAGCAAAATGGCTGAGCCAAAGCCGTGTCTCCGGCAATACCCGTTGGGCTGTCCTGGTTGGAGGAAGATTCCATGTCGCTGCTTGAGAAGGCTCTTTGCGAAGGAAGGCGCTCGGATTCTGCCGACTGAAGTTGCTTCTTGGTTTGCTGAAGCTCATCCTCTAGCTCTTTGATTCTTTCTTCTAGCCTGAGTTGGATCACATCGTGCAGGCGTAAGCTAAGCTCTCGTGGTGAAACTGCATGGTTGACATTGTGGATATGGTTTGTAGTGTTCTCGCTGTCACTTGCACTATCATCCTGGTCCTCAGAAACCCCACCGGGGAGCATATCTGCCTTTAGTTCCCCATATACGACATCAGCAACTACATCCAGATCAAGCTGCAATGAGACATTTCGAGAAAGGTTGGACATGTCACTGTTGTCAGAAGAGAGGCATCATGATAAAATGCATCTTAAATCACATTAGCGTGTATATAAGAATGATATCTATATAAAGTGACACAGAAACATGACCAAAAGTTATCATCGAAGGATGTCATGCATTATCCTTCCATGACCAAAAGCTACCCAGAAACAAGTTGTTGACCATAAATGTGTGTTTAGAATTTTGAAGGAAATTTATTAGGAAAACATAACACAAAAGCCCAAGTAATATACCATTGACAGAAATAAAATTGTGGAGATTAGATTTATCACCATCATCAGGTACAATGGCGTCAGACATATCTGGCTCCCATACGGTGCAAATACAAGTAAATATAATGTTCTTCCCAATTTCAAAAATCAATTTACCAAAAATCACATCTCAGTATCTGGAAGTAAAACTTCAGAGTTCAATAAATAAAATTTAGTACCAAAGACATACATGAATTGTAACAAGTTAAATCTTAGCACCATCTTCATGCCTTATAAAACACCTATGTAAGGTGATGGATATTGCAGCAGATGAAGCAATCATGATGTAAGTGAGCCTACAAATCAAGAAGCCTTGCTGTTTAGGTCTGTAGATGAATAACATTGGGATTGATTCCTGAATACGAAACCAAAGGGAAAAAATAAAAGGATCCGCAAGGAAGGAAAGAAATCTACCCACTGAATTAGGACCCAAATGATGATCACAGCAGATATAATCTGTAATTTCAGCATGGCCAGAAGGTCAGGTCAAGTTGTTTGTGAAACAGAAAGATGGGAAAAATGTTTTGGTTATTAGCCTTCTTTTTATAAAACAGATCGATGGTTCAGGTTTTGAGCCCCAATCTATAAAAATCGAGTACTACTTTCTTGAACATGGACATTGGAAGTAGTGAAATATCCATACAGATGTCATCTGTAAGAATTGTATGATGGATGATCCTTAACAAGTCTCATCTCATCTGTATGGATATTCACTTATTTGTTCAAGTGAGACTAAGAATGCAGAATAGATGGATAAGACTTTGAATGTTTGCCAATAACTTCTACGATGCCTTCTGATATGTTATATCACGGACCTGATATAAGAAAGGATCAATGGATGAAAGGAAAAAGGAAAGCAAGCATGGATCAGATCCATTATATAAAGGCCATTTGAACAAGGGAGAGACAGAATATCTAGGTAGAACACTACGAAAGAAATACACAAGACTATTTATCACGTCATCCACTCAATTATTGTTTTCAGAAAGCTGTAAAGGAAGTTCAGAAGAAAACTCAAAGATGACGAGAAAGTGTGAAAATTTTTCTATTAGTATTTCTAGCATGTCTCATTCTACCTTGGTCAATGTAGCTGGTTTCATATACATATACAGATTTGGAAGGAAATATTGTTTTGCAAGCATTGAATAAGAAATGAACCAAGTTAGCCAGAATGGTTGTGTTTGCTGCAATTCAGATTCAGAAGATTGCTAGAATGTTCTGGCAAGAACATGAAAACATACTATGTCAAATGTTTTCTAGAAAGGTACCACTAAAGAATCTTTATAGGATATGATAAATAAAAAGCAAGAAGTAGCTGTTTCAAATAAATAGTTTTTATTTACAATTCACAAACAACAAAAACAAAGGTCTTTTGGCCTTACCTCACCAAGTGCTAACATTGTTCCGTTCAGACTTGACCTGTTCATGGTCAGTTCCAGTTTCTCCAGTTCAATCTCAAGCTCTGCTTCAATCTTACTCCTTGACTCTTCCTTAGAGAAATTTAGCTGGTCATATTCATCTTTTTCCTCTACAGGAAAATAGGATTCTGGAAGTTGATCAATGGCAGATTTAATTGATTCAGCAATGCTGTCAACTGGTTTTTGGTGCCCACAAGCTTCATTAGCCAATTCTTTAACAGTTACGGCATCTTTCATATCCAACTCCTCTTGCAAATCTTGAATCAAGTTCTCCGAACCCTTCAACATGTTGTTTAAATTCTCTATTTCTTTTCTATTTGATAGCACAGTGGATATGATTCCAAGGCTGACTCCAATAGAGAAGATATGTATTCCATCATGCAAACCTGGGTACAATGTCGGTGCTGCTTTAGAATGAACACTGTAATCAAATTATATTGCGAAATTATTTAGAATTTGAGACAATCAACTAAAACTCAGATAACAATTTAGCCAGGATGATGTTATATATACATTAATGTATAAGACCCACATGGCATTCTAGGTGACATGGGGAACCCCACAAGAGGTTGAATTTGATGCCTCTGCATGGGTGACACCTAGGGGCCATGTGGAGACTGTGCCATTGCCAATACATCAATGAAATGTCGTGTAACCTGTGTATGTGTAGCAGCAATGACGCAGCAAAACTGCCACAGAAAGAAGCAATAAACTATCGTAAAACTGAATAATATATTAAAAGATCTCATGAGATGCATCGACCATGATAGATGACAATGTTTGTTCTGCGGCAAAAAGGATTACGAAGAAGACTGACGATAAATGTCAGTCTGGTTGCCACATTATGCCAGCATACTCAGTTGTTCACTACTAGAAATCTCCTGAATTTTGATTATGTTCATAGATTAGTAGTTTTGAGACAAAAATTACAGATCACACAGCACTTGGATAACAAATGTAAGTTGCTGTCTTAGCACATTGGTGTTACCAGTCACAAAAGAAACATACTGATAATGCATGTATATCTTTTATACATCAAGGACGTGTTATGAAAATCAAGGTTTGTAATTTCGTACCGTACCGGAGTTTCGAGCTCGGTTTGGTATGGTATAAGTGTACTGAGTAATACATTTTGATGTACCATTCGGTATATATATATATATATATATATACACACACACGATGGCTCTGCCCACGTGAGGAGCCACGCGAAAAAAAAAGAAAGGGGAGCAACATCGCCGAGGCAGCGTCACTCGATTTCCTTGCGCTCGGCGACGTCACTCGGTTTCCCCGCGCTCGACAACATCGCCTCGGTTTCCCAGTGTAAAAAAATCGACGATGTCGCTCGGTTTCCGCGCGCAAAAAAAAAAGGGAAAGGCGACATCGCCTCGACGATGTCGCTCAGTTTCCCCACGCGAAAAGAAAAAAAAAAGAAAAGAAAGGCGTCGCCTCGCTTGGTTTCTTCTGCTGGGGAGAAGAAATTGCTTCTCCCCATGACATTGCCGAGGCTTCGTCGCCGCGCCGAATCTCCAGGTTTTCTTCTTTCTCTTCTCCCTCTTCTTTCTTCTCTGTCACCGACCTCTTTCTTCTCCCTTTCTTTCTTCTTTGTCACCAATCGATGCTATCGCCCGCTATCCCGATAGCGGACGATTTGTGTAACAGTCTGCTGACGGACCGGTATATACCACCCGATACGGGTGGTATCATTCAAAATTAAAATCCTTGATGAAAACTACAAATTCACATGATGAAATAAGAAAATTGAAGTAAAATTTTTAACCAAGAGGAAGCATTGAAATCTATAGATTAATAGTAGCAAGTGAAAAGTGCAAGGTCCATCCACCTAACCTGAAAGGAGTAACCCTAGGGATGGAAGCACACTGCATCTACTGTGGGACTCCCTTTGGAGCTCTATATTCTAAGGAAACAGCCATCTCGACATAGGAGTAAAGTTCACTGTCACACACAATTGGAAAGGTTTATGCTGATAAATACAAGTTAACATTATGGTGCAATTTCTACATACCCCACAGCTTAGGTCATTGTCTAAAGGTTACAATTCAAACTTCCATGAATGCCCTACAAATATATGGATACCCTTCTAAAGTTTCACAAATGCCCTTACAAATTTCTGAACAATATGAGCATGGCAAGACTATGAAATTATAAGAACCATGATACTTGTAGGCCATAGCTTTAAGAGATCGTAAATGAATTTCACCTATTTCCAATGGTAGATATGCAATTGCCCTGTGTGTCAGCAAACCCTTGGCATGACACAGAACCCATACTGATATCATCCTAACTCGATGCCAAGACCCACTGAAACTCGAAAGTAGGATTTAATATGACATCTCAAAGGCTACAGAAATCATTTCTCCACCTTCCAGAATGGAAAAACACCCCATCACAATGATATGCCAATCTTAATAGACAATAGTCCATCACATATGACAATATACTACAAATAAAAATGTCACCAGATCAATTGACCTTCGTCCAATTACAAAAGAAAAGAATATTTATAAGTCAAAACAAAGAAACTATTCTCAAAACATCAGAAACACAGTAACATTATAAAGCAACTTAGCACATTGCTATGCAAAACAGATATATACTGCTCAATTAGATGAACAATCAATTAATTGGTGACTAGGAATTGGAAGATGGACTACAGCAACAAGAACTTCCACTTCTATACTCAACATGGAAACAGTTAATCGAACAAGAATAAAAATTAAACACACCAACCTGGATTTTCCATTTTTTATATGCTTCAATCAAGAAATTGACCAGGGTGATGTTATTAGTCAAGGAATCAACTAGTGATATCCATTTGGGCAGAAAATAAAATAAAAGAGTCCAGTATACCAGCCAAACTAATTATCAGCAGAGTGATACGGTGAGAAGAAATATTGACAAGTACATAATACAGTCCACAAAGAGTTAAAACAAAAGATAGGACTGAGGAAACTAGAGAAAACACAATATACAGAAATATTAATAAAATATGATTGTATGCTTTTGCTTCAAATCTTTAATGCTGTTTTTCCCTTCCTAGTAAGTCTAATTTTTCATTGGATATGGTCAATGACTATTTCAGCAGACAAAGTAAAATACAAGTCAGCAACCATCACACTACAGGCATCTTTAGTATCAGAACCAATGAAAACATGGTAATGATACTACCTTTTTGATGGGAGATCATGTGTGATCTTCGACTGTTGGAAGATCCCACAATATCATGTGGTGTCTCCCTACTCTTTCTTTTTGGTGTCCTCAACTCAGGAAGAGAAGAAACCCCTGTCACATTCTTCATATTCCCCTTGTTCATTCCACTATCAAAAGTTATGCCTGTAGATCCAAAACTAGATTTGTTAACTATCTTGCTCTCATCTGTTACAACAAAGGGCCTCAAGCCTGGTGTGGTGGAAGAAGGAAACGAACTGAAAACAAACTCTTCGATTTCAAAATTTGCATCGTAAAGTTGAGGGATTAGGCAGTTCTCTGTGGAAGAAAGCGGCTTAATTGAGCTGCGGTGAGAGCGCCTGGCTCTAATAGTGCTTTGACCTCTACCACAGGCGTAACCCAGACTAACACTCTGTGGAGAGATCTCTGGAAGAGAATTATACATGAAACCATCCATTTCATACCCACATTTCTCAGAACAATCATCATTTGGTTTCACTAATTCCTCATCTCTCTGATAACTTCCCGTTTTGAAAATCCATGGCTGCAAACTTAAAAGAGAACCATGGTCCCTCACATACTCCCCTGAACTCACGAAGGCATCTCCATTATCAGTACTACTTGAAGCCATACCCTCACGTAAAGAAACGCATGTTGACTCCGTATAACCTCTAGGGGTGTTGCAAGGAACTTTATCATCATTAGAAGAAGCATCTTCTGGGGCTTGTTTGCATGCTAATCGCTGAAAAATTCTACCTCCAGATTTGACTCTCTTCTGGTATACCTGCTTATCCATTCAAAAGACTAGCTTGGATTACATACAACTGAATTGAGGAATTTTTTTCTGACAAGATTTCCTCCTTCCTATTACCCAATAAAATACACTGCTGGACTAACTGCTGTACAACATTCACTGCCACAGTATCTACACAATTCTGCCCCTTACGTGCAAATTAAAAGCGCCGAGCAAAGCTTCCGTACCCACAAAATTTCATCTTTTCCCAGTCAAATAAATCTCCAATACGAAAAGCCTAATAAAATGCAAACAGCCCACGGATCGAAACTCAGATCCCAAAAAGAGAAACACAGACACACATAAAGAAGGGCATTTCAAAGCTCCAAAACCCAGATTGCTACTAACAAAGACAATAACATACGAGAAAAGATCGGATCTTTGGGGCGGATAACCGAGAACCAACGGGACAGGCACTAACGCTAGCGCCGTCACCGCCAAAGATCCGATCTTTCAGCCGAAGCGATCCAAGGAAGAAGGAAAAAAATCAATCTTGGCGTGGAAGCAAGCAGTCAACGGAAGAAGGCAACAATCAGAAGCACCAAACCAGAAGGAACCGCAACACGGAGGGAAAGAGTGCGAGGGGGTTGGGCATCGGACGACAGGGGATGAGCAGAACCCAACGCCAACCTCGCAACGGCGAAGGAAGCCCTCAAGCGCAGAGCGCCCATCTCTTCCCTCGCCTCCAAACAGCGGGATTCCAAACCTAAAACAGACAAAGCAGCAGTAGATTTTCCTCCATTTATTATTATTATTATATTTAAAGTTAACTGTTTGCGTTCGAGACTTCTACCGACATCTACCCTTGACGTCTCCCTGTTATTTAACCTGTGGGACCGACATATTACTATCTTCAAGGAGGGTTTACACGCGGGTAAATAAACCATAAGCACGCATCAGAACGTTTTTGTTTGAGATTCTGGAAGATCGAATTGATCTCGGCCGTTCATCTCCCGTCATCGATGATTGGAATGGCTTGGACCTTTTGAATTGATAATTTTTTACTAATAATAATATCCAAGAAAAATATTTAATGAATATAAGCACGATTTATTATTTTTGTTTATTTAAACATTAATTTAAATGGGAGACGTGAAGAAATAAGGATTGTCAAAACTTAAATAGATGAAGGATGAAGGAAATGGAACTAATGAAGACATAAATTGAGTTGGTTTTGACTTGACTTGTACATAAATTTCAAGGTGTATACATCTTTTGGAGAATAAATGAGTTGAGTCAAACAGGCCAATCCAAACATTACTTATATGTCAAATCATTATTGCAGAATTTGCATTCTGAATGGTCACAAGAAACTTGAATGCATCTTCCATTTTCTTTGTACCATCGGAATAGAAGAAGAAGCATGATGTTAACACATACACATCAACAACAGCTCATCAGTAACAATGGAGAAGAAAGAAATAGGACAAGAAGAAGAGCTACAGTCCATTACAATGGGGAAAGACAAAAACCATAGGCTGGACGAGAAATGCCTCTGTATCAGTCCATGTTACAACAATGGGATCATACGCTAGAACCGGAGGCTTTTCATCAACCCAACAAAGCCATCAGTGAGCAAATGACAGTGAGGAGGAGAGAACCCATCCCTGCTTTCATGAGGAACTCACCATGGCTCATGTCCTCGTTGGACATGCTGCTTGAAGGCCCCAATCCCCCTACTACTCCACTGGTTGGGGAGAAGGTGCCGGGTGTTGTGCCGGGTGTGGTTGTTGCTGGTGTTGATCCTGTGCCTGCAGCACTGGAGGAGGAGGAAGAGGAAGAAGAAGAAGCAGAGAAATGAAATCAAAATAGATGATGGTCATGCTCATTGATTGTAATGTACTCAGAGATGTACCTGGCAGTTGCAGGGAAAGTGCAACCACTGTAACCTGTAAGCAATCAGATGAAGATTAATGGTGCATTTTTGTGGGAAATGACAACCGGGTGATGGGGAACTAAGAACGTTCATGGACTTACTTGGATCTGTGGTGGCAAGAGCAGCAGTGCCCGAGAAATCACAGGTCCCTTGTGCCTGCCCTTTCCTCTGGTAGTAGCTGTTAGCAGCATAGGAGCAATGGGCTTTCACTGTGTTGGGATTGTAACAAGCTCCGTTTTGGAGGATGGGAGTGCAGTCAGCTCCAGCTCCACAAGCATAATCCAGCGTCTTCTGGAGAGCAGTGTCACTCATATCAGGCTTGCAGACACACCAAGCCGCGTCTGCCACCAGAAAGATGCAGACTTGAGATCATTTTCCCCATGAAATTCCAAAAAGATTAAGAGAAAGATAAAACAAACGATGGCCCTCGGTTCAACGGGGCGCAAGTCTTGCTGCAACAAAATCTAGCAAGAGTAGTCAAGAAGGAAGCAGAGAAAACATGGGCGAACATGAGAAATCCTGATCTCCACCAAGACGATGATACATGTAGAGAAGAACATAAGAAAGATGAGAGCTGTGAACTCGAGCTTGCCTGATCCACCAAACATGGTGAAGATGAGAACTACAAGAGCAAGAGCAGCCATGACAGGGAGAGAGGAGAAACTATCGATGGAGGGAGAGAGGATTTGTGTCTTCACAGCTGAGCTTTCAAATCCTTCACCCATTGCTCGGTTTATTGGGCTGCCTCTCTGCAGACGCCGTGCCATAGGGAACCGAGCCAACGTTGCTTTCTGTTGTGTGTCCTTCATCAACGGTCACAAGCCCACATGTGGAGCGAGGACAAGATCCAGAGCTCGACCCGTCTCCTTCCTCCTCCTCTCCTCCTCCTCGCGGGGATTCTCCGGGGCCCAAAACTCCTGTCCTCGATTTGACCGTTAGGTGCTGTCTCCAGTATCACTTGTGTTGTCTCCCTCCCTTGTTCAAGTTCAAATGTTCTTCTCCTCGAGCAACATATGATCGATCACCTGAACTTGTTGGAGATGAGAAGGTTGTGAGATGGAATAGAATCAATCAAAAGGTGTTCATTATTTTTAGGTAAGACTGGGGGATGCTGAGATCCAAGATTTATTCTTTAAGAAAGAGCTTTGGAGATTCCTATCAAAAATAATGCATGTAAACAACAAGGCATGCACTATGAAATCTTTGACATTCTTGGTAGTATCTTATGATACTGACATAATACATGATTGATCTATAAGATTCAGTATGTTTTGATGAACTTGATAAATCTACTTATCCAAAAATTTTAATAAAATAAAATTAAAATTATGTGGTGGAACTAAAATTAAAATGATTTTTTTTATCTAATGAAATGATCAAAATCAATTATCCTGATTTTGAATTAATGATAAAAAATGATAATATATGATAAAAAATGATTTTATATCGAAATGATTTTGAATGATATTACCTTCGATCGAAATGATCTTGAATTAATGATAAAAAATGATCACATCAATTATCCTGATTTAATATACTGATAATATATTCACAAATTTCGTTCTCTTCAGATCTAAATCCAATTAATTACTTAGACTTATATATTTATATTTAAGCTCAATATTTCATATTCGATTAAACAATGTTTAATTCTGGTTTGAGCCAAGAAATTCCTACTTTTGTCTGAGCCGATAAATTGAACCGGTCGGTGAAGCCGGATGAACCGGCAATTGGATCTTTAGCCGATCCGGTCCGGACTTTCAAAAAAAATATGAACCGGAACGAATCGAAGGCGGAGTTGCGCTCGCCGTCGCTTCCTTGCTTTTCTCCCACGCTCTCGTCCTCCTCGCACGAGATAATGCCGAGGGCGAACAACTGAGAAATCAGAATAGGAGAAGGAAATTTGTCGCATTCTGTCTCTGGAGATAGCAAGGTTTTTCCCCTTTTTAGTTCTTTTCTCTGTTGGAGTCGTCCTCGGATTAGGGTTTAGTTGAGGATCGACGAGGATGGAGGCGGCCGGTGAGGAGGAGCAAGACGGTCTTTCGGTTCACTCGCCCGGCCAGGCGCCGCCCTCCTCCGCCTCTTCGTTGCCCAAGGTTCTTTGCCCCTTCCTTTGTCTTTCTCTCTGCCGTTCTCCAGTCCATCGGTCTCGAGAACTTCCATGTTCTGTCTGTTGATTTCTGATGCATCAATATGAATCATATAAAATTACGATCTTTTACATATTTTTTTATGTTAAATTTCCGGTTTCATCAGGAGCAATCGCAGGTTGAGTTGGAACTGAGGGTGTTGGAAGCATTGGAAATCTATCCTCCATGGAGACTGCAGGGTGAGTTCATAATAATTCAATCATTTATGGGTGAATAGAGTTTTCTTTCTTTTTCTCCCTTTTGACATTTTGAACGTTTTCTGCTGTTATTCATGTTCTGTGACAATTTTAGTTGACAATATAAATCAGTAAAAGGTAAAGTTCTTAACTTGTTGCCTCGGCTTGGAATTTGTTGCATATGGACTGAAAAGTATAGGGTGATCATAGAGCAAAAGAGAATGATCTGATCTTTTTCCTTAGCTGGTCAGATAGGCTTTATCGCAAACCTGGAGAAAAGAAACAGAATGACGAAGCGTCACTAATGAACATTCAGGGGTCTTGCTTGACAACTTTCAATTATGTTAGGGAATTAAAATTCTTATAAAATTTAAAGTCAAAACTTTGTCTATAACACAAAAGAGTTTATGCAATTGTCATTTGACGTCAAATGGCACATCTGATAACCAGTGCAGTTTGATATTTTTGTTCCAACTTATAATACAATATCCAATGCTCTTCACTTGACGTGCAAGGTAAACACTGGTTAGTGGCCGTGGAGCTTTTTTACAATAGGGATTGTTGAGATGTAAAAGAAACTAGAAAATTGGTTATATTAGGGAATATTTGTTATCAAACAGAATACAAGTAAAGCATGGATGAGTAGCATATTGTTTAGTACATATAATAAGTTATATATTCTTTTTCTATGTTGTTCTACTAGATAAATTCTGTTCTCCAAATTCTCCATTTGTCAGCTTCAGATTGAGCCCGTGATAGTGTTTGTTGATTTGCACCAATTCACATTGTCTTCATGGAAAATTGTCAAGTGAAGTAGACATTTATATACTGTTTTTTTGTCTGTTATCTTCTCGGTTGCAAGTGTTATATCTCCACATGCAAGAAAGGTTTTGGGGATGAGATTTATACCTACAACTGTAACTAAGTTTTAAAGATATGAAATCTCATGTATATCAATCCTGCTTTGATGAACTGAAATTGACCTCATTATATATATTGCTGAGTGCTAGCTGGATACAAATTTCATAACAATACATCAAGGTTTATGCAAGGCCTTCGAACAACAAAGCTAGAGCCATGATGCATTATTGTTATTATTATTCAACATTTTTTCTCTTAATAGAGATAAATATATCTATATAAAGTATCAGCTTTCTCATTATAAAGCCAATGTTCCTGCTTGTAAGATCAAGATCTCTGACCTTACAAGTATCACTACAGTTCATCAACTTGTTTGCTTTCCCTTTTTTATGGTTGGATCTTGACCGATGAAGCAATTCTTCTGATGTATGAATATCTTAACTTCTTTTTATGTGTTAATGCCCGTGATCTTGAAGCCTGATGAACATAAAAAGTATATACATGTTACTGATGATGGTTTAAGTTATTCCATTATGATGAGTATTGTTACTTGCCCATCTAGATAGTTAGGTTAATTGATCACTGCTACTCGCTTAAATTCCTTTAATACAACGAATATGGTTGTTGAATATCTGCTTACTAGCATTGAATGACCATAACTGTGCAGGCATCCATCGTCACTTTGTTCTTTATGGACTGATGGAATATCTAAGGAGAAGGTCAGTTTAGTGGTATTTAATTTGTTTATGATGGACTACAAAATCATCTTATGCATGAATTGCAGGACCCATTACAAAATGTTTTTATGCTTAAAAGTTCATATCTTGTTCCTGCAGCTTTGACAGACACTTTTCAGCAGAGGAGGTCTTGCAGTTGCTGGATCGCTTCTATAATCTAGAATTGTTGGTGAGCAGAAGCTTGCTTATTGTCTATACATCCGTTGCTTTTATTTTTTTAAAGCCTTCATTTACCTTATAGATGGTTGAAGCAGCATTGTGTTCACTCACGTTTTTTTTGTTTCTTTGGAATATCATGCAAATGTAATCTCTATAATGCATGTTGTGTCAAAGGTATTTGTTGTGCCCTGTCATCTGCATGAGCATTTGATACATGTATGTTATTTGTCTGCTGTATTTGATGAGGTTTTAGTGTCACCACCTATGGCTTTTGCCTTTTCGGTGTTTTCTTATAGTTTGAAACACAAACACGATCCATTTAGAGCAACATATAAGATAATCTGTGAAGATGAATTTTCCTGTTGTTATAGGTTGACTTTTCATTTCCGAACTACAACAATTGTATATTCTGACCAATATTCGGTGTTTTAATCTGCAAATTTATATTCGTTAGAAGCATCATGTGGATTACTGGAACCAGTTGTCCAACAAGATGATATTAACTTTTGATTGATAATGCTAAAGTACTAACAGTTGAATGCTCTACCGTATGCCAGAAACCAGACGATGAGGAGGCAGAGATTTTTAGAGAAGACGATTTTTCCTTGCCACAGAGCTTTTTCATCAAGGATGAGCAGTAACTCGCACCATTTATAGATGTGTTATTCTTCTGAACTGTTATTGCCATTAGCATTTTGTTTATATCACAGGAAAGAAAAACCACTATGTTTAATAACCAACTCGATGCCGGATTCATTCTCCCTTATCCCTTTTCAGCAAGAGCAGAATGCTTTTGGAATTTTGCAGGAAATCAATAACTATTTTGACTTAGTGCGAAAAGTTAAACTTTATGTTCTGAGAAATCATGCGAGAATGAATTTTCTCACTTTGAATGTCACTGAATGCCAGTCAGATTAAATACTGTTTAATGTATATGATTGCTGTAGCTGTTGAACTGTAACCATACTTAATAATTCCATGTTCTAAAGCAAAACGAGGTGAAGCACAGATGACCTCAATCCTAATCTATGTTGTTAAATCTCATTGATTAAATTTAAAATTTGTGTTTGGGCTGGACTTCTGTCGTCAACTGTATTTTGCCTGTCATTACCTTTCAAATTGTCCAGGGTTCATTGGAAAATATAACTGGGTTAGCTGCTGTATATGTTGACCTAGCAAAGACCACAATGGATGCAGGATGAACTCTCCTTTTCCTGATGTAAGTGCTATTTGATTCTCATGAATCTATCACTGATGATGATGACATGCTATAAGATTCTTACAACTTTCCATTTGTAAGATTTTCTGTTGCAGACAGTGAAAAATAGACCTGACAGGATTGTTCCAACAACAAGGTGAGTTTTCTTTCAGACAACAGCTTCAGCTTTTGATCTTTAGAAATGTTAGCTGATCATGTTAACCTTATCATAAACTTGTAGCATCACATTCATGCACAAAGCTTTTATCGAAATCCCTGACTGATGTAACTGGAAAATCATCCACCTAATTCGAATTAGCACAAAGATTTTCTGTTGCAGGCATTTAGTTGATCTTCATTTCCACTGTGGTTGCATCCATATCGTTATCTTTCTTACTGAATTTACTAAAGACTCTCAAGAAGTAATTATGATGGTCAAATATTCTTTTGAGTTTCTCTGCATGACCAGCAGAAGCATGTTGGCTTTGAATGTAATATTTTTGAATCTGAGACGCATGGAAATGCTTGGTCTTCTAATTATCATGTGAACTCACTTATGCATAAGGGAAGTCGAGATTTAGTCCACGTTTCGGAAATCTCTCTCTTTCAACACCATCAGTCCTTGATTTCTTCCGGATCGACAGAAGCAGGAGTGAAGGGAAGGCTTCCACGACGGGGGTGGATTCATCTGACGAAACTGTACTACCGTTGGGCCAATTCCACACGCTTCCCTTCAAGCCAGATGGCGACGGCACTCGTTTTTGTTTGAACGGTTCCTTGGAAATATAGTAGAATTAATCTCTGAGTCCATCAGATTGTAGTCTCACCATTATATTGTCCTCCTCCTCTCCTGTGGTGCCCGTGGACTCCATGCAGAGTCTACGCCTCATGTAAGGCTTCAACAATCATGCACTTGTTCCGCATTCGTATCTTGATATTGATATTGGAGTTCTACGACTCTGCGTCTTCCAGCATTTGACGTAAAAGATGATGCTTTCCCACATCCATGCACTGACTATGAATAAGTCTTGTGTCCCCATCCAAGGGGAAATTAAAGCATATATATATATATATATATATATATATATAATAATAACTAACTAACTAACT